GGAGGATTTGAGCTGGATTTGACAGATGAAGAGGAGGGACTGAATATAGGAGACATTTTTGAGGTTCTTGGTGATTCCAGGGCATAAAGGAAAATTGAAGAGTCATGGATGAGGTCCAGGTTTCCAGTTGCGATACTGTAGATGGTGATGGCATTAGCCTACATAGAACATTTGTGTATGTGTGTAAAGGCTAACAGTAATAGTGTTCTTCTGTCTGTACTCAGTTAGGTATGCTATTAACTCTCAGCTCACCAAACTATTACTGGTCTGTTATCAGAGAGCAGAGTACTTGAGTGAAAACACCATACTGTATGCCAGTAAATTTAATGTGTTCTATTGGGCAAACTAAGTTGGCCTTGGTGGGGGTAGTTCTTTATAAATTAGACTATTTGTACACATTAGCTGCCAGTTTCTGGTTTTCAGCTTTGCAAAGTTTCAAAATTTCTGACTTGTAATTTGAGTGGATTTCTCCTCCAAAATTGGTGTATGTTAGAGTTGGAGGACTGTGTCTCTTTATATTTGCACATGTCCTTTCTGGAAGTGCCTTTTCCACCCTTTTCCTCTGAAAACTTACTTCTTTAGTTCAGGAAACCCATGTTATAGATGAGAAAATTGGATCTCTAGGATGTCTGCCATTTACCAAGGATATTGCACACTTACTAGTTGTGGGGCTTTTTAGGGGCCCATGAAATTGAGTCTTCTCAACTTAGTGCATATATGCTATTACCAGTTCTTTGATTTGGGCTCCACTATTTGGGCAAAGTTCTTTTATGTCAGCATGAGGAAGGGGAACATTTGATACTTGTTAATTTTTAAAGGGGGTTTATGTTGAGGTCCAATTATATCTGGAAGGAGGGTAAGCAGTGTCTATAAGATGTTACTGGATCATTTTACTACAGTCCAAGGTGTGACCTGCAGCATTTGGGGATGCCCTGAAGTTGATCTGACTGAGTGGCTAACTCCCAGCAAGGATCTCTGAGTACATTTTACTTATTTAATCTTGCACACTCTTGATTGTCTTTTAAGTACCAAAATGGTTATGCCCTCTGGAGATTTGAAGGTGCCTGTGACAAGGTCTTGACCTGCTAGAACACAGTGAACAATAAGTAACAGACACCGTAATGCAGTGTGTTATGTGCTGGAGAGAGGCCCAGGGAGGGGAGTTTTGGGGAGTGGGAGAGGGCACTTAGTCCAGACCCAGGGGTAGGAAAGGAGCCCCCGAGGAGAGAACTTGATCAAGCCTTGGTGAGAGAATCGGTGTTAGTTAGGCAGAGGAGGGAAGGCCAGGCATTTTGAAACAACACTTGCGGAGACAAAAGATTGTTCGGTTTCAAGGAGCTCTAACTCTTCTGCACGTTGAATTATGCTGTTTGAGGGGAGCAGAAGCCAGAGCTGAGGCTGTGGATTTAAGGTGGGACTAGGTTATGATGGGTTCTGAAGCTCACACTAAGGAATCTAATTGTTAATCTTAAGAAACATATTTATTAAACATTGATGGAGCATCCACTATGTGCCAGGCCTGTTCCAAGCAATGCAGATTCAACCATAAAGAAAATAGGTAATATTCCTGCTTTCCTGGAGTTTACGTTCTGCTGTGGGATATAGACTGTAAACAATAATATGATATGTCAGGTGGTAAGGACTATGAAAAAGGAAAAAAAAAGACAGTGACAATGCAGGGTGGGGTGCTATTTTATATAGGGTTGTCAGGGAAGGTTGCTGAAGTGACTTGAACAAAGAGCTAAAGGAACTGACTGGGGAGTCTCTGTATATCTGCAGAAAGAGGCTTCCAAGTCAAGAAATAGAGCAAAGCCTCTAAGACAGAAGCAGGCGTAGTGTGTTCTGGGAACTATAGGGAGGGCACGGTGAGCGAAGGGGAGAGAGCAGTAGGTCAGGGATGAGGTTCAAGATGAAGTCACGGAGGGTGGTGGCCAGATTGCGAAGGGCCATGTAGGCCACTGTAAAGATTTTGGGTTTTACTTGGGATGAATTGGGATGACAGAGGTTTTAAAGCAAAGAAATGACTTGATCTGACGTGTTTTAACAAGATTACTCTAGTTATATGGAAAGCAGATTTGCGGGAGCATGAGTAGAAAAGGAGAGAAAGTTAGGAGGTTGTAGTAATGGTCCAGGTAAGAAATGACGGTGGCATGGAGTAAGGTGAGGATGGTAGGAATACGGGAAAGTGGGAAGAAATCAAAGGTTTATCAACATGATCAAAATTTGTGCTTTAGAGAAGTGACTCTGATAGGGCATAAGAAAAAGAGTTGGTGGGACCAAGAGTAGAACAGAGGCTAGTTGTCCCGCCAAAGCAAGAAATGGTGAGTGGCTTGGAGTGACATTTGTTTACTGGTCAGCACATGCTTTACCATTAGCGCAACCTATTTGGGGAAGCAAAATAAAGTCAGGAGACCTTGTTTTAAATATGGCGAACCAGTTAAGTGAAGGAATCCAGGTTGGTCACCCACTGTCTTATTCAACCAAAGGGCTGTATGTTTGGAGGACAGAGTAGGCAATGGGAGAGTGTGTCATTTCTCACAGCCTCACTTAAAATGTCTGCTTTGGTCCATGCTGGCCATGTACATCCCAAGTCTGGCTTTCCTTCTCCAGCTTCTCAGGCACGGGATTGGATTCCCACTTTTTCTTCTCCCATTCAGACACCTCGTGCATAGCCTATTTTGAGGCTTTTCTGTCTCCCAGCCCTGCATGCTTATAGCATTTCACTTTATGCATTGTCTCATATTATGCTCTAATAAAATTTTCATTTTAAAATAAACTGAAACCTATTCAAGGACTGCAGTGCTTTTTCATTGGCATTTTTATTCTGCCACCGTGCATATGGTAAAGCCAGGCTCCTAGTAAATATCTAGTGTCATCTTCCTTGGCACAGATCCCTGATCTCTGTCAGAAAAATCTGCCATCTTTTAACCCTTCCCTGTTCCTGTGGGATATGAGCAGGGGTATGATGTGGAGGAGTCAGTGTTGTGTATGAAGTCACGTGCCTCACTCAGTAGATTAGGCCACTCCTGTCTTCTCTAAAATTCACATCTCAGCCATCTCCTTAAGGCTCAATTCAATCAGGAAACATATTTAGTGTGGGTCAGGCACTTGCTGAACCCTGGTGTTTTAGAGAAGAAAAGGTATAGCCAGTGCCCTCATAATGCTCACCATCAATCAGGAAAACAAGCATTAAATAGGTTATTAGGTCTATTCGAATAATTGTGGGTGTGCCAAGTGGCTGAAAGCACATAAGATGAGCATTGACCCTCCAGTGGGGGATCAGAAGACTTCACTGAAAATCTGCTAACCAACACCGGAGAATGAAACGGAATTAGCTAGGGAAGGACAGGTGTGTGTGTGTGTGTGGGGGGGGGGTGCAGGAGAATGATACTCACCAGGAAACTGAAAGAAGTCCAGTTCAGCTCTAGCCAAGCACATTGGGAGAAGGGCACAAAATAAGGCAGAAATCCCCAAATAACCTTCCCTCATTGCTCCAGCAACTTGTGGCTCTGCTTTCATTGTCTTTTCATACTAATTGTCTTTACCATAGTTTATTGTATCCTTGAGGTTGAAATCTAACCAGGATCAAAGGAGATAACTGCAAATAGGGCTTAAGGCTAGCGAGGCAAGGCAAAAGTCAACCCACGAGCATCAGAACTGACAGTCGAGAGACACAGGGGACCTCAGCCAGCCTAGTTTCAGTGGGGTGGTGAGGAAGAGATTGGAGTGGGGTAAGAAGCATGAAAAGACCTTTGACCTAACAATTCCAATTCCAGCTAGCTGTCCTAGAGAAATTCTACATAATTGCACAAAGAGTATTTGTTGTTGTAATGTTTATAATAGCAAAATATTGGAAATAATCCAAATGTCTATTACCAAGGCCTGGTCCATTTATTCACTCACTGGGTATTTGTGCTGGGCATCAGTCTAGGCATAAACTATGATGAAGATAGATAAAGTCCCCTTTCTCATGGAGCTCACAGTGAGGGAAACAGACAAGCTAACAAGTAAGCAATCTTAGGTACTGGTTATGAGTACAAGTGTCCTTTTCATCTGAATCTATTTGGTTCATCAGTTCAGGTAGCAGGAATTTGGACAGTGAGAGATACCTGTGCTAGGAGGAAAACATGGTAACATGAAGGAGAGTGAAATAGAGGAAGGCACTAAGAGCTTTTCTGAGGAAGCAATGCTGGAAATGAGACCTAAATAACTAGTAACTAGTTGTCAACCATGCGGAGATCGTAGGGGCAGAGGGAGTAACAAGCATAAAGGCCCAGGCTGGGAACAGCGTGATGTGTTCAGGGATCAGCAAGGTTAGCATAGCTAGGGCCCAGTAAGTGACGGGAACTTGGAATCTTATTCTTAGTACAATGAGTACTGTTGGTTTTAGGTAATGGTATGTTATGATACAGCTGTACTATGGATTGCTATGAAGCAATTCCAAGGAATGAGGTAAAATTATATAGACTGCTATGGGAAGATCACGCTACATAGTTAAACGTAAAAATAAATTGTAAAACAGCATTTCACAAAACAAGACAATGTGTATGTGTGTGTGAAACATGGAAAAGGAACTCTTAAATGTGTGCACCAGACTGTTAACAGTGGTTATTTCTAGGGAGTAAAGTAGGATTGGTGATGGGGTGAAGGAGGGCTGCCACTTTTTACTTCCCACTGTATTTGGATTTTGGAACAAAGGAAGTGCACGTGCGGGGAGGAATTGGGTGATCGTGTGAAAAGGCTTGGCTTTGATGGGAAACAAGATGAAAGTAAAGTAGGTATACAGGACGGCAGGACATATTGCCCCTCGTGACTTTTCCGCCTGAATATTAGGTTCTTTATAAAATTATGTAAACAACTAGTATATTTACCCAGCATTGCCCTCTCAACATATCAAATGTGTGATCATCACTTTTGATAGACCCTACAGTGTGTCTCCAGTATTACCATGGGAACATTTGTGGGGTTGATCTTACTTGAGCAAGAATGTGATCCAACAGGAATCAGTGACATTCAAGGATGTGGCCGTGGACTTCACCCAGGAAGAATGGCGCCACATGGACCTTGCTCAGAGGCGCTTGTACAGGGATGTGATGCTGGAGAACTACAGCAACCTGGTTTTTCTCGGTAAGGACCACGTCTCTATGTCTTGCCTATTGGTGGGTCTTTCCTTTCTCAGTTGCTAAGGTTATGGGACTCTGTGACTATATCTTGGATGACTGAGCAGTGTGTTCAGGGTCAGAGCTTGTTCATCTTTTGGGGACCCAGCCATACAGGTTTCTGAGCCTGCTCTTTAAGTAAAAGTTCTTTTCTTTTGCAGAACTGGAAATAAGCCATTTGATTGCCTGACTCCTCAAGCGGCACCTTTTTTTTTTTCCCCTTCAGAGCTCCTGAGGTTCAAGGACTAGTATTGACTTGTATGAGGGTTCTTTTGTCCACTTGTACAAACAATCAGATCTTGTGTTTTTACCTATGAGCAGGATATCAAGTTTCCAAGCCAGAGGTGATCTTCAAATTGGAGCAAGGAGAAGAGCCGTGGCTCTCAGAGGGAAAGATTCAAAGACCTTTTTGTGCAGGTAAATGAGTAAGAATCAAGCATGGAGGGATCAGTGCAGGCAGTGGCACAGCTGAGGGAGGGGGAAGCACCTTCAAATTCTGTTCTGGCAGCAGCTACACTGGCAGAGGCAGCTGCGCCATCTCCTGGGTGACACCTCTGTATGTCTCCCTTCTCCAGTAGGGTGCTCCTGCTGCTGGTAGGTCTTAGAGGAAAGATATCTCTTCTACACTCAAAATACCATCTCTCCCTAGCCTGTAACCTTACTTGCTGGATTGTTTTCTCCTCTGGTGTCCTCAGTCTCCGTCATTATTTATAGAGATCCCTTTTCTTACTCATGCAGATGTAATTGAACTTCCCTTTCTCCTCTTTGTTTTGTCTTACTGCTTTCACTGTCAGATGCCCAGTCTTGTAGGAAATACCTACAGTCTTGATTCTCCCTTCCTTCATAACTTGTTGTCAGACTTCTTTCCTTGACTATGCTCCTCTAACACCCGTCTGGGGAGCACATGGTCTTCCTTCCATCCTGCGTTCATGCCGATTTGACTCATTGCCTCCCTCCGCAGTTCCTGGAGTATCATCCTCTCCTGGTCTTTCTGCTTGTTAAGTGCTTCTTGGCTTTAGGTCTTTGGCTTTTCTTGCTTTCCCCCTAAGCAGACCTGCCAAGGAGTCTGCCCTCCTGCCTCCTCCCTATTCTGTCTCTGTTACCGCCCTTATAGGGTACCTCCATTCTAGTAGTTGCAGCTCTTTATGCTGTAGACTCAGAAACCATCCTTACTTGTACCCTGGTCACTTTTTTTTATTCTCAGAGAACACCTCCACTGGGAAGACCCATGCAGTTCTTATTAAAGATGTAAAGTCTAAATTAACCAGTTTTCATTCCCAGCCAGCACATTTTGCTACCTTGCCCGTTAACCCGTTTGTCCCCTTGCCTATTATAAATCACTGGATTTCTGATCTCTCTGGCCAGATACCATCATCAGTTTAATCTTTTTCTTTCAACCCAGGTTACTTTCTTCCTTTGAGAAGTATCTTAGATTTTCCTGCCTTTTAACTTCCACTGGTGACATCTTCAGCCAAGCCCTAGGCTTAATTTACATAATTCCTAGTTGAAATTGCTCCCTCTTTTTCTCTTAATAATCCATATTGGATTTTTTAAATCATATCTTTATTGAGATATAATTCACAAAATATAAAATTCACCCTTTTAAAGTGTAAAATTCAGTGATTTTTCAGATATATACAGAGTTGTGCAACCATCACCACTTTCTAATTGGAAAATATGTGCAATACCCCAAAAAGAAACCCCATACCCATTAGCAGTCTCTTTTTATTTCCCATTACTCCCAGCTCCTGGCAACCATTAATCTCCTTTTATCTTTATGGATTTGCCTATTTTAGGTATATTCTATAAATGGAATCATATAATATGTAGCTCTTTGTGACTGGCTTCTTTAACTTAGTATGTTTTCTGGGTTCATTTATGTTGTAGCATATGTTGCTTCATTCCTTTGTATCCATTCCTTGGTATTTCTAAGTAATATTCCATTATATGCATATACCACATTTTATTTATTCATCACTTGATGGACCATATTGAATTTAGTACTTTATCTTCATAAACCAACCACCTATGACAATGGCAAAATCTTGCCATTACTACATTTATCTCATTACAGGAAACAGAAATTCCTTTAATTTAAATGTCGCCACCATACCTTCCAGTATTATCTTTCTAGTCATGCTAAAGCAAGCACCATTTAGGCTGAACTTCTTTTTAATGTTTTCTGTAAGTAACATATACTTTCCCTCATTAGATAATACTTTCTGCCTATCCAAAGCCATCTATTCTTTAACTTCAAGGTCTGTCTAATTCATGAAACCTAATATATACTAATATGTTTACTAATTCCTTCCCTGATTACAAATACCATTTATCATCTCTACCACAGAAATTCAGATAGAATAATATACCATTTTAATGAGGTTGTTTTTTTTTTTAAGTTGTCAAAAGATTGATTCTTGTTTCTATTCTTAGATTTCAAGCTCCTGGAGAGTATTTTATTTCTATATATTCTATCTGTGTTGCAAAGCATGTAGAAAGCAGTCAGAATTGACTTGATCGATTGTTATGGAGTCTGGCTGGGAGAGCACTTTATCATTCATTTATTTCAACAAACATTTTTTGAATGTCCCACTGAGAAGTATTCTAAAAGACATACAAAGCATTCTCTGTCCTCAGGAATTTAGAATTGTGTCTTGTTCCAGGGTAAGGAATTTGAGGATTTAAAGCCCCATAGTTGCTGTCCTGTTACTTCCTAACATTTATTACGAAAATTCTCAAATATATTACAAGTTGAAAAAATTATACAGTGAATACCATATACCTACCACTAGAATTCTATAGTTGTTAACATTTTATATTTGCTTTATCACATATTTCTTCATCTATCCATTTCTCAATTTATGTTTTTGATGCATTTCCAAGTAAGTTGCAGAATGAGTACATTTCACCTCTACATTCTTCCATGTATATGTCATTAACTAAGTTCATTTTTGTGTGTGTGTGTGTTAAAGAATTACATACAATGAAATATGTAACTCTTATATGTACCATCCAGTTGATTTTGGCAAGTGCAGCTAAACCAAACTCCTATCAGTGTGGAACATTTCCATCACTACAGAAACCTTCCTCTCAGTTTTTAGAGGTTATCGTTCTTAGAACCTAGAAATTAGTAATTCTGTGCTCTTAGTATTCTCAGGTAAACAGAGGTTTAGAGATCAATTTATTAGGCAGATTAAAATAAATTCTTTTTGGTTAAGAGAGGTGATTAATATAGAACCAGAACTCAATTAGACTAAAACCACAGCCCCAGTTGTAAGGGCAGGATGATTTGCCTACTTTTTCTCTTGTGAAGTATATAGCCTTTGATCTCTAAGTATATCAAAGAATCACTTCTGTTATATCATTGGCTGCAGATTTTCTCTGCAGGGTTTGAAGATCTGGAGCCTCAGAGGTGACTTTAACAAAATTACAAGATGGATGTATTAGGAAGATAAGTTCTGTGGTGCTTTGTAAAATGGACAGGAGTCATGAAGAGCAGATAGTATCCTGCAAGATGGACTGTAAATCTAGTGCATTTGTATCTGTGCCTAACACTCTCATACTCACTTACTCCCTCACTCCCTAACCAGCCCTCCTAGATGGGCTTCCTTATTTTGCACTTACTCTTCACTTAGAATCTGCAGCCCACACTATCACTTGTTTTCACTCTTCCTTTCCTCCATTTTGGGTCTTTACCCCCAGCTACAGGACTAATTTTAATACAGAGTCATGTATAATTTGTATCTCTTTCATTTCCTCATTCCTACTATTGCAGTTTGTTTCAACAGGAGGGAATGAATAGGGGACTTTTGCACTTTGGGTTTCTTTCAGACTGGAAGACTAGGCCTGAAGCCAAATCATCACATCTGCAGCGGAGCATATCTGAAGTATCCCTTAGCACAGATGATCTCTCACATGCTACATTAGAAGATGCTTGGGATATGAGTAGTCGGTTAGAGAGGCACCAAGAAAACTGGAAGAGATACCTGGGGCCAGATGTATCCACCCAGAAGAAAATAATCACACCAGAGGAAAGTTTTGAGCAAAATAAATTTGGTGAAAACTCTAGATTGAACACAGACCTGGTTACCCAACTGAATATTCCTTCAAGGTCTAATGAATGTGATACACTTGGAATCAATTTGGGACATAATTCAGATTTACTTAATCAGAATAATAACCTTGCAAAAAAGAAACCTTATAAATGTAATAAATGTAGAAAAGCTTTCATTCATAGATCATCACTTACTAAACATGAGAAAACTCATAAAGGAGAGGGAGCTTTCTCCAATGGTACAGATCAGGGAATTTATCCTGGAAAGAAACACCATGAATGTACTGACTGTGGAAAAACCTTCCTCTGGAAGACACAACTTACTGAGCATCAGAGAATTCACACAGGAGAGAAACCCTTTGAATGTAATGTATGTGGGAAGGCCTTCAGGCATAGCTCATCCCTCGGTCAGCATGAGAATGCTCATACCGGAGAGAAACCCTATCAGTGTAGTCTCTGTGGGAAAGCCTTTCAGCGCAGCTCCTCTCTAGTCCAGCATCAGAGAATTCACACTGGAGAGAAACCCTATCGATGTAACTTATGTGGAAGGTCTTTTAGGCATGGTACGTCCCTTACTCAACATGAGGTCACACACAGTGGAGAGAAACCCTTCCAATGTAAGGAATGTGGGAAAGCCTTTAGTCGATGTTCTTCCCTTGTCCAGCATGAGAGGACTCATACGGGAGAAAAACCTTTTGAATGTAGCATATGTGGGAGGGCTTTCGGTCAGAGCCCATCCCTTTATAAACATATGAGGATTCATAAGAGAGGCAAACCTTACCAAAGCAATAACTACAGCATAGATTTCAAGCACAGCTCATCTCTTACTCAAGATGAAAACACTATGACTGAAGTGAAATCCTATCATTGTAATGACTGTGGGGAAGACTTCAATCACATTACAGACTTTTCTGACCATCAGAGGATCCACACTGGAGAGAACACCTATGATTGTGAGCAGGCCTTCAGTCAACCTATTTCTCATCCTGGAGAGAAACCCTATCAATGTAATGTATGTGGAAAAGCTTTTAAAAGGAGTACTAGTTTCATAGAGCATCACAGAATTCATACTGGAGAAAAACCCTATGAATGTAATGAATGTGGAGAAGCCTTCAGTCGACGCTCATCACTTACTCAGCATGAGAGAACCCACACGGGAGAGAAACCCTATGAATGTATTGACTGTGGGAAAGCCTTCAGTCAGAGTTCATCCCTCATTCAGCATGAGAGAACTCATACTGGAGAAAAACCCTATGAATGTAATGAATGTGGGCGAGCCTTCAGAAAGAAAACCAATTTGCATGATCATCAGAGAATTCATACTGGAGAGAAACCCTACACTTGTAAGGAATGTGGAAAAAACTTCAGTCGAAGCTCAGCCCTCACTAAACACCAGAGAATTCATATGCGAAATAAACTCTAGGAACCCTGAAAGTGAAGAATGTACAGAAAGCTTTAGCTAAAATATTATTATTACTCAATATCAGAGGATTCATACTGGAGAGAAAGCTTGAGAATGTAATGAATTATGTGTGTGTTTGTACGTTGTGTGGAGAGAAAACAATGCTAGTAGGCACTTTTTAAAATAAAAGCTACATTCTCAAATCTGATTACAGACTTTTGTAAAAACAACTACAAATATATCCTATTGGAAATGATGCCTATATATTGGACTTTATAAAGCTTTTTAACATATGCAGGAGGTCACCAACTTTCAATAGTTTGACTTGTAACTCTCACTGTTTACAGCCTTTTTTTTATAAATAAAATTCCTGCAGTAATGATCAAAACTCATTTTTAAAATTTACAACTGCACCCAATTGCAGCTCTTATATTGAATTCACTGTGGAAACCAATTCCACCTCCAGGAATTCACCATTCAAAGAATTATATCAACTGGTCCAACCACTTCGTTGTACAGATGAAGAAACTGAAAACCAAAGATGTGAAGTGGTTTGCACAGGGTGATAAGCTTATAATGGCAAAGCTGGATGGAGGATGCAGGTCTCCTGGGTCTTTGGCCCCAAGGTCTTGCCACTGAAAAGGTATTTTGAAATTCAGAGGGCTTTAAAATAAATTTTAAGTCAGATGCACAAACATTTAATGAGCACTCATGAGTTGGATACATTAAGAATTCATAAAGGCAGCAAGACATATGCAAATTTGTCACACACTATTTGAAGCAACTTAGAAGCTTACAAACCAAATGTTAACAGAAACTGTAAGTGGTTGAATTACTACTGGTGATTTTTTTTCCTTTTCCCAAGTATAATTATACTTTTGGCTCACATGTGTCAGTTTCATAGAACTATTAAGTCCTCTTACTGTGTTTTTTATGACACTTCCATGAAAAAGCACTTCCCCAAGCTTCCTATATTGGATCAATGGGAAAACAACACAAAACTAAGATAAGAATTTTTCCCCAAATTAATTTTACTGTAGAGAAGTATAAACCCAATTACCTATTGCCAAAAATTTGTCTTTAAATCAGTTTAGGGAATCAGCATGTGTGCTGAGGGAATATTTCACCCAAAAAAATAACATTGTTTTAATCTCTGTGGTGCTTTTCCATCAGTAAAGCCTGAGCTAAGCTTCAGTAGCCCACTCTAATCCCTAATGTCCCCTAATTCCTCCCATAGGCTATCCTAAAGGAATTTCAAGAACCTTTGTTGGTTCATTGGCACCAAAGTGCAGATAAATTTGGAAGCAACTGTGAACATTGACCCGTTTCGCACAAGAGCATCTCCTCCCTGAGATAAGCAAATTTCCCACCTTAATGATGAATCTTGGGGAGGAGTGATATGGGTGGTGCTGATGATAAACCTTTCCTAGTGGCTTTCTTTTGTGCTGGGTAGAAGGATCCATCATCCTGGACAAAAGGAGGCAGCTCCAAACATTCTTTGTAATTCTTTGCAGGAAAAATGTGCCTGGGGGCTGAAATATGGGCTGCCTAGCCCAATGAGTCTTATCACATGTAGAGCAAGACGAGATACTCCCAGCAGATCTGCCTTTCCAAGACATTAACCATCCGAAAATTACTTTGGTTATGATGTCCCATGATTAGTATATACACAATGCTAAGGCCATGCTTGTGTTGTCTGATATATAGTGTGACAGTGGATAATTCTTAGACCTTCCACTACTAATTGGCTGGGATGCCTATCAGGAGTTCATTTTGCTGCTGATTGTGTGGGGATCCCCCTAGTGGACTATTTGTAAGAATGGCATGAATTGTAACCAATTGGGCACTTCCCTACTGTTATGGAAGTTTATAGACTTAGTTCCAGAAGACCCAAAAGAGACCACTTATTTGTGTGTGTGGAGCCTGGCCTAGATCTGGTCAATCTCTGAATCTTACCTCATCTTCATTGACAGGGAGGGAGCCCAGGATATGTGTGGCCAATGGACCAGAGGATTCTGTAGTCCCAGGAACCGTGCACCATGCACTTATGAACACCCTGCCTTCTAGGCCACATAAAATGCATCCTTGTAATATTGTATTATTTCAATAAATAGCCTTCTTAGTTGAATGGGAGTCAGTTTGTCATTTTCAGTTTTCAGAAGTGACTAAGATTAAAGAGTGAGCATCAAGGAGGAGGGATTAACTGCTAAACTCATCAGCCAGGTGAGTTAATAACAGCTACTATTTATTGAATGCTTACTACTTGTGAGACATTGTGGTAAGTATTTTATAGCCGTTTCAGCTAATCCTTACAGCTCCCCATTCTAGGTATTGTGGTAGCTGTTGTTTTTGCTCTGCTTTTTTTCTCCCTTTTCTTGTAACAATCCTTGCTGTACTGACCACAGGAATACAATTCAGGACATCCGAGGGGCTCAGTGATAGTTTTAGGGGGAAGCATGTAACCTAGTTGAGCCAATGTCAGAGTCCTTTGCCAGGATTTTTTCAAAATACAGTTGGCAGGGAAACTGATTTTGGGTTGCTAGGCCGGAAAGACTAAGGCCTAGAGCTGCCTGGAGCCTGATTCCTTACCAGAGCGAGGAGGTCAGATTGTAGTAGGAATGCGTGCCACTGACATGGTGGTGGTCTCCTTTCTAATCCTGAGGTTCATGGACCTGGCTCAATTTCTAAAGCCCTTTCTGGAATTCAGTGGTCTCCTCATTATCAGTCCAGCAATTTCCTCTTTTTTATTAAACTAATCTGTCAGGTTTCTGTTGCATTTAATACATGTATTACATCCTTGTTTTATAATGGGGTGGGGGGACCAAGAGAGGTGAAGTAACTTCCCCTAGGTAGTACTCCCCATGGCATATTCAGGCTTTGAACCCAGGACTGTGTCTGCAAAGACAGCTCTTAACCACTAACTGATGTCTCCAGAGCCATGTTATGTTCAAGGAACTGTATGTAATGCAGTGTCATTTGGGGGTGAGTGGATGGAGGGATATGGTGATAGGTTAGGGCAGAGACCAAATGATGAAGGGCCTTGAAATTTTTTATTGACTCGGTAAATTAAATCCCCTAAATTCACAACCCTTACACCTTAATTTATCAGTTATTTACATTTGCCCATGCTGTAGATAAACTCTTGTATCATACTTAGAAGAACTTTCTCATAAATGTTTTCCATGTTGCTATATACTGAAGATCTCTTTAACAAGTCCCCTACTGTTGTGACATTATTTGGATTGTTTTTGGCATTGGTTTTTATAGTAACGACATTGAATACTTTTGTTTAAGCATCCCCACCTTTTTTTCTATAGAGTTTTGTCTTGAAATACCCAGAATGATATAAAATATCCAAAATGGGGTTACTGGATCTGCATGTATAGGTCAGCATGTATAACAAGATGGTGTGAGCACAGGAGTAATTGTCCCAAAATTGCCAAAAGAAGCCAGGAGAAAGCCTTCCCAAGATGTCTCAGGAAGGGCTCCCAGGCAGGCATTATGTCCCCCAGCACATCTAGCCCACCTCTGTGCCCACATGGGAAGGTAAGCAAGCACTCCCGCAGCTTGTACGCATATTGATGATGGCCATGCTCCTTTATAGCTGCTGAACTAGTTAATTTTTACTCATTAGTTAAAACTGTACATGTCACTACTGCCACTGTCTGCCCTACTTCAGCTACACTGGTCTCCCTGTCTTAAATTTTCATAGATTACTGTTAACATGCTTCACATTACCACATTTGTATTTGTGATTATTTGGTGTTCTTCCCCCACCCTCCATTATATTGTATCAGGACAGCCAGGTCCACATCTATTTTGTTGTAACTTTTTGTTCCCCTGCTTATTACAGTGCTAGGCATATAGTAGTTACTTAATAGTCTTGTTAAATGAGCAGTGGAGTGTAGATTTGTTAGTACTCCAAGAAGACTGGCTTATAAATGAAATGATGTTCAATTTTGAAATCAGAATATTTCAAAAGAAAATGATATACTATTTGATACCCATTAGGTTGGCAAAAATTTAGAAGTCTGGCAGGAGGAAAATGAGAGCTTTTATACACTGCTGGTGAGAGGGTAAATTGGTATAATCATTTGGTGAGTAGGTTGGCAATATCCAGTAAAACTGAAACTAAGCATATCTCATGATCCCATATATATATATATATATATATATACACACACACACACACACACACACACACACATACAGGTGAGTGCAATGACATGCACAAGGATGCTCATTGCCACAGTGTTTGAAATAGTGAAAATATAGACACAACACAATATTCTTATGTAATACAATACAGTACTTAAATGAAAGAACCAGAGCATTTTAACTCTGCCTGTTCAACTCCTGTGTCCATGTGGCTAAATGTGGCTGGAGAAAGACAGCCATGGTGACTAGTTTAAATTCTTGACTCCTAACCTCAAGCATTTATTCCCTAGGCCAGTCATTGTCCCAGTCTTCTAAGGTACTCTTCTTGTCAACCTCCAGCACTTCACCCCAGTCCTCTCTCAGCTAGGGACCTTGCTTCTAGTTAACTGAGAAAATAAAAGCAATCAGAAGACAACTACTCCCCTACATGCATCTTGTCCATGAGCTCTTCCTTTCCTTCCTGTTCCTATGGACTCTGTTATCTAAGAACAACTCCTCTGGTGTATTAGATCCCATCCTTAAACTAGGACACTATTCCTACAATTGTCCTCTTTACTCCATCTCTTTTTCTCTTGTCTACTGAATCCCATCAGCATGATAACATAATTTTTCTCATATTTATAAATGTGTGTGTATGTATATATATACACACACATATAATATATATATTACTCTCCACCTGCCACTCAATTTCTTGCTTCACTTAATAGGAATGTACCTCAGTAGAGGTTTCTAATACTCGTCTCCAATTCCTCTCTTTCCATTCTCTCTTGCACCCACTCCAATCAGGTTTTTTTTTCTGCTTTTGTCAGAGGTCACTGGTCAAGGTGGCTAAGTCTAATGGTTGTTTTTTTGTGGGGTTGTTTTTTTTTTCAATCCTTTTACTTGACCTTTTAGCATTATTTGGTACCATTGATCACTTCCTTACCCTTGACAAATTTTTTTCACTTGGTCATCACACTTACTTAGATTTCCATGCTTTATTGACAGCTACTTCTCCCAGGGTCATATTTGTCCTTGCTCTAGACATGAGAATTCTCTTAGGGCTCAGTCTTTGGACCTCTTTTCTTTGTCTACAGCCAACTTCATTGGGATTCTTATCCTGTCTCGTGGCTTTAAATCTATCTGCTTGTTGACAACTTCAAAATTTATATCTCCAGCCCAGGATTTCATACACTATCATAACCAACTGCCTATGTGACATCTCCACTAGGATGTCTA